TAACTAGACTTCCACACGTCTGGGATGGTAGCTGTGCCGGCCCGTTGCAATAATGTGGCCCACGTGCTCTCTAAAGACGAGGAAAGTGTAGATGCACGACTTCACCTGCGGCAAGACATAGAATACTGAATAATTCTGTGTTCACTAACAGTTTTAAAATCACTGATGAGGCGTTGAGCAGCGACGACGACTGGGTGAGTACGTTACTGATGCAGGAACCTTCCAAAGGGTGTCGATTCTCTGGGCTTCGTCAAGATAATTTGAATAAATGTTGGGTTTCCTCGAGAGACGAAGCGCTGCTCTTGGCTCAGATGGATGGTGGCCTTCACAAAGACAGGAAATCCACCAGTAAAAGTTCAATAACTACATCTGGTTTCCTCTGAAATCCATCAGGGGGGCTTTGTACTCTGCACTGTACTCTCACCATTCCTTTTCACCCTGTACACCTCAGACTTCCAGTACAAATCAGAGACCTGTCATCTACAGAAATCCTCAGATGACTCTGCAGTTGTCGGGTGTATCAGAGATGGACAGGAAGCTGAGTACAGAGAGCTGGTGGAGCGCTTTGTGGCATGGTGTGGAAACAATCATCTGACCTTGAACGTGAACAAAACAAAGGAGATGATTTTAGACTTCAGAAGAAACAGGGTGGAGTCAAACACTGTTTCCATCATGGGAGAAGAAGTGGAGGTGGTTGAGGAATGCAAATACCTTGGAGTTCACCTGGACAACAGACTGGACTGGAGAAAGAACAGCGAAGCCGTTTACAAGAAGGGACACAGCAGACTGCACTTCTTGAGGATGCTTAGGTCCTTCAATGTCTGTAGCAAGATGCTGCAGATCTTCTACAAGTCTGTTGTTGAGAGTGTAATCTCTTCAGCCATCGTCTGTTGGGGTAGCAGCATCAGAAGCAGGGACCTGAAAAGGCTCAACAGCCTAATAAAAAAGGCTGGTTCTGTTCTGGGCTCGACTGTGGAACCACTGGAGGAGATGATGCAAAGAAGGATTCTCCAGAGAATCAAGAAAATGATGGACAACCCTGAGCATTCTCTTCACAAGACTGTCCGACAATGGAAGAGTGTCTTCAGTCAGAGGCTTCTTCAGTTCTGCTGCAACACTGACCGCTACTGGAGATCCTTCCTGCCAACAGCCATTGTAATATACAACAACTCTTTGATGACTTGATTATTATTATTATTATTATTATGAGCTACTACAGCAATCAATTTCCCTCTGGGATTAATAAAGTATTTTTGAATTGAATTGTAGACGGGATGTGTGAACACAAGTCATGTGAACCATGTGTGGCAGGTAGTCAGTGAAGGTCGGTAATTCCTCTGGGATAAGCTTGTGTCCTGAGGGAATTAACCCCGGTGCAGATCAATCCTGAACACACATGCACGCGCGCACACACACACGCACAAGTGCACACACAAACTAATCTGGTTTGACAGATTCAAGGACCTGTGGGAAGCAGACACTTCCTATGCATCCAGACCAATGTGCCGTTCCCCCTGCAGTGTCCACCAGCCTTCTCAGAGTCACCGACGGCTCTCTCTGTGGTGTGTTTGGTGTTTTCTCTTAACACCAAACAGGTGAGGAGAGAAATAATGGGACCTGAGATTTGGCGAGACACTGAGCGTGGTTGAGAGCGAGCGCCGTGCCTTACTGGTTCCACAGGATTACGCTGCTTTACTTAGTGTGTGTGGAGTTGTGGCACAGATGCCTGTGGCATAAAGCAAACACTGGGAGGACGTTTCCAGATCTGATAGTGTGTTGAAGAAAAATTGACTGTTTCATCAGTTCGAGTCAGCCAGACCTTGTAATGTCTTCACACCGAAGAGCCAGCTCTGTCTGCCAAATTGGAGAAGTGGCAAGCTTTTAGAGGCTCTCCAGGACACCAGCGCAGCAGGTCACCAGCAAAACAGCCCTAATCCACTCAGCTGAGGGGGGCTGATAGTTCCAACTGGCATCAGATGCTAAACGATGCGTCACCTTCCTCCAGAGCAAGGACCTACACCTGTTAACTGTTATATAATGAGCCTGTGAGGGAAAAATACAAGAAATCCTTTGTTTCAGACGTTCTTGAATCCAGATTGATTGGGTGTGTTATCCCTTTCCTTCATGGTGCTCAGCAGTTGTGAAATCTATGTGGTTATGGGCTTACGGCTGTGTAATGCACCTGACTGGTTCTGATGGATTCTCGTCACACAGCGGCGGAGCAGAGAGAGCGCCGGGCTCCGAGGAAACCCATAGATCTCAATCAGTGAGAAGAGCTTGTCTCCCTTCTGCAGAGAGGACAAAAACAAAAATAAATAAAAACAGGATGGTTAAACCCAATTTTCATCCATCAGTTTGCCGATCGTCAGTGCTCACCCAGTCGCTCGTCTACTGAGGAGATTTGTTTTGTTTGTAGAAGTCATAATTAATAAAAGGAAGTTGCAAACAATCAATTCTTCTGCTGCATTTTAGTCCAGATGTCTTTGCACACATTTGTGAGATTTTATTATACTTTTTTGTACAAACAAAAAAAAATGTTTTTAGTTAAATTACAAAGCATGTTGTTTTGGTGTAATTAAGAGATCTGGAGCTCAGAGGATTCATGCATGGCTGCCAGAGGCGGTTTTACCATTAGGCATAGGTAGGCGGCCGCCTGGGGCCCCCTAGCCCTGACCGCCGGCACCCCTCTGTTAATGCCACAATATTCTTATTACCAACCTGTGGCCGCAGACGGGATTGGACATGCGCACTTCTCATTACCATAATTCCTGAATCGTTCAAGATATCATCAAAATTCTAAAAGTGCTGAAAAGATTAAAAATAGGGCTTTTCGTGTATATACAATACATTACGGTAGCCACCGGGATTCCCTGTCTTGAGCGCAACGAATCACAACACAGATTCAGAGACGCGCTGAGTTTGTCATCCAAAATGCTTCGCTTAATAATGTTTGAATGGCTGATCAGATTCAAATAATTCCAACGGTTCCTAAAAGTACATAAAAGCAGCTTTCCAACGATCTATAGCATGAAGCAATCAGAGTTAGGGAAAATATCGCTACGAGGGGAAATCCTGCTGTACAGCCTGATTTAAATGGAGCGCTGCGCCGCGGTGAAAGCGGATAACGGAAGGGGGAAGCTAATTGGCATAAAAACCAGCATGAAATTATGGAAATGCCTCAAAGAAAATCAACATGATCTGTTAGCTGTCCCAGAAGGCTTACATCTGAAGACAGTGACTATGAAGAAGGACAGATCTCCGGTGAACCAGGATATGAATGTTTGTTCCGTCTTTATATTTTATTTTTTTATTTGAACAACCCTCAACTATTTGCTAATTGTAAGATTCAGATTCATTCCAGCATTATTTATCTTTTTACAATAAATAATTATTTTTGCTAAAACAAAAGTTTTTGGTATAGCAGTGTACGGTGTGCCAGAGAAGCACCCCATGGCAGTGTGAGGTGTGTAGGACTCTGCCTGCAGCTGGAGAGAAACTGCTTCAAGGTCTACCACATCAAATAAAAACGTCTGAAAGTTTACAAAAATAAATGGTCTTAAAACTGCTAAAAAAAAGATACCAAGGTTCACACTTTTTAAAGAATAGATGCATTTCAGTTCAAAGTTTAAATAGTTTGCCCAGTAATTTTGAAGTTCCTGTTCAGTAATAAATGTAAACAATTCAAATCCTTTTTTTGCTTTAAAGGCTTTAATAGACATACATTCTAAATACAAACCATACACTAAAAGTTGAGGTTGTTCTGAAAAAAGGAGAGAGTTACACACACTTTGCGCTTTTAATTACAATTTTACAGCCATAAGGTTAAAAAAATACCAGGCGGCCCTGTTATAATTATGGTCATAAGAGGGTTATTAAGATGGCGATGCACAATCAGGAAGTGATTGGTAGTCATTCCACTCCAATCCAGTTGGTGGCGGCAATGCACCAAATGGTTTGTTGCCAAGTGCCATAAGACCACAATTAAGAAAAAGAAGAGAGGCAGGGGTGTTCGTAACAAACCCAAAGCGATAGTCAAAACATTTAGCATGAAATGGAGTTATCCTAGTGGCTCCAATAAGAGAAAGAAGCAGCATGCTTCATAAAAGCTTTTATTTTCACTTTTGAAAGTGACGTCGTTTTTCGATGCAAACATCAAAAGGAAGCAGAAAGAAAGACAATGGAAAATGTTTCAAGGGAGGAAAACATAGACCAAAATGGAAAATAGAAAAAAAATAACTAAGGCTAAAGCACAGGAGCACTGTCAGGGAGATGAAAGCAGAGCAAATATTGGAGGCACTCAAAGGGAAAGAAAAACAGGAAAAAAGAGGAGGACTAATAAAAAGTGAAAATAACTCGTGTCAGAAGAGGGGAGAGTTTCGCAAATCCAGTTAAAGGTAAGATTGTCGAAAATTTAGTGTAAGGGGCCCCATGTCTGTGTTCACCTTGGGCCCCCAAATTGCTAAATCCGCCCCTGATGGCTGCAGATCCAGCCTGACAGTCTATATTTCTGTACCAAAAAAGGTTTTCAGAATAAAAGCCTCCCACATAGATGCTAAGGAAATGCTGCTTCTTATTTAAAATAGAATGACATTTTCATTCAATTTGTTTTCTATTTAAATAAGAAGCAGCATTTTTTTTATCTTCACAATGATGTGAACTTGTTTTGCCTGCACGTGAAAAAGAATGAGGTGAAAGTAAAAATGTAAATTATGCTTTTAAGGAGATATTTCCAGATCTACATTTCCATTTTATGGCTGGAAACATAACTGATCACATTTTGAGTTTTGAATCCTTGAATCTTGATTTCTACATTTGAACTGATTTAAAACTTTAGGCCTGGTATTGAAAATTCACCCACTAAAAGCACGTGTCATTCTAAAACCTCACCACTTACAACAGATCTGGGCTGGAGGCGCAGTAGGTCAGTAGGTAGGTCTTCAGTAAAAAAAAAAAAAAAGAAGTGAGGGCGGGTCAGAACATCCAGGAGCGTTTTTCCCAGAACAGTCCAACTGCGCCCTCCAGTGGACAGAGCCAGCCTGGTCCCGGTGCTGCCGAACCATCCATGCTCGGTGTTTACTTTGTGGATGTAAACTTCTCACATCAAGATGCTTCCAGAAACGAACGTGTTTGGATTCCTTTTGATCCGCGGTTGTTTTCCCGCGTTTCCTCTAAATTACTGAAGAAACCCCGAGAGCCAGTGCGTCTGAGGGAGGAGGGGGAGGAGATCGAACATCTGAAGACACTTTTCCGCTTTCAAGGTTTGTTTCCACCTTTTTACGGAGAACATTTGTGAGTTTTAACATGTAAAGCTTGTTACTTCTTCATTTTTTATGTTAAGCTTTTATTTTGACATCAGTTTCTGTTTCTAACCAACCATCATGCGCCTGTTTTTGGATTGACGCATCGGAGTTTTTGCGCATTTATCAGCTGTTGTTTATCTGCTTTTCACGTGTCTCTTATTATGTAAACATGCTGATTTTACTGCCAGGCAAATGAGCGGCTGTGTGTGTGTGTGTGTGTGTGTGTGTGTGTGTGTGTGTGTGTGTGTGTGTGTGTGTGTGTGTGTGTGTGCGTGCGTGCGTGTGCGTGTGTGTGCGTGCGTGTGTGTGTGTGTGTGTAGGTCACCTGTTATTTATCACGTTGGTGCAACAACCACGTGCAGGGCCCCATCAGCATGGGCAACTTCACCACCAAGGACAACCATGGACCCCTAGGTAAGTGACTGGAAATGCTCAAATCACTGCCCTACATTCACTTTCTTTTTATTTTGGTGGCTTGTATTAGCGCTTATCTTTAGTTTTTCTTTCTCGGTAACTCCTAAAGAACAGTTTAAGTCTGCTCAAAAGAGCAGGATGAGGGAAAACAAGGATAGGAAGTGAGATTTGGGAAGAGCGAGCACACAAAATTCCCTAAAAAGAGTGGGTGGATGAGGAATGATCATGAAACTAGAAGGAGGCAGAGAAAGGCGAGCAGAAACACCAAGTGTGTGTGTGTGTGTGTGTGTGTGTGTGTGTGTGTGTGTGTGTGTGTGTGTGTGTGGCTGCAGGAATCTTGGCTATCCGTCTGTGTGTTGTACAAGCGGTGGTCATTCTCCTCGCGTCCCCCGTGTGATCCGTTCTGGGCCCGCCGAGCCAGCTGTGATGAATCGGCAGAATTCCTCAGCTTAGCGCAAGGGCAGCAGATTAATCACCAGAGGCCCGATGTCGTCTGACACACACTCACAGAGACCTTGGTGAAAACACACTCAAATCCTCCCTTATTCAGCCAGTCTGCCACCCCCGTGCATGGCTGGAGGAGCACGTTAAGGGTAAACAGCAGGGATGGCGCTGGAGCGTTCTTAGACAATCCTGTCATTCTTTCTGAGGGATCCTGTCCTTGCAGCAGGTGGTGCTTAACTGCAAATGTTCTACTTTTGTTCTTGCATCACTGACAGAAACACCAACTCGTGTAGCAGAACAGCTTTTGTCCTAACAAGGGAAAATAAGACGTCCAAGGAGCCCCGTGGTTGCTGGTGAAGCAGGAATTGTCTCGCTGGGCTGAGCAAAGGAATGTTGAACCAAAAAGTGGAAATCACTCGTGTTCTTGTGCAAGCGTGGGGAACGTATTGACAGCGTTCTGCTGCAATAATAAAACATCAGTCCTCCGTGTTTTAAGTGTGTGTTCCTTAACTTGGAAAATGGGTCTTGCAGCAACAGAATGAGTGATGAGTCCAAGAGGAATGTCCCTATTACAGCATTCGTCTCCCGGGTTAGGGCCTGGGCATTTCGCTGATCAGCGAGAGCCATGACCTGATCATCTACACACCAGAAACGCGACAACTGGCTCTTTTAGTGGAATCTTACTCTGCAATCCAGTTATCAAAGCCATTTTTTTGTTGTACTTTTGACAAGAACTAAAACTTTTTGAGGCCCGTGTTTTTGACCGACATCGATGCCAATATGTAGAGGTAGTGTTTAGCCAATGACCGGTATCTGCTGCCAGTTTTTGGGGCCGATTCTCGTGGCTGACATCTAGACATGTTGCGTCTTATTTTCATGCTAAAATGTCAGTTTAAGCAACATTTCTGAACCTGAATCTGTTTTTGAACTCTGAATTTAAGGGTTAGGGTTAGGTACAGAACTGTGCAAAACGTTTTCGAAAGGTGTGAAAAACAAAGAATGCTTTCAGAAATATAAATAATCATGCAAGTGAGTGATCTGTCCTTACTGTTGAGTGTTTGATGACGCTGCACTAATTCGATGGGTACCAGTACTTTGTTTAAGGGGCCTTGAAAGGCCCAGTCTGCTCCACTGCCACGATGTAAATTATATATATATATATATATATATATATATATATATATATATATATATATATATATATATATATATGTATATGTATAAGTATATTTGCAGGTATTCCAGGATCAATGACTTCATTGCAAAATTGGAAAATAAAATCATTTCTCCCCAGCAACCCAGAATTCACCATTCCATACCTTCCCTTTCTCCCAGGGCCCCATTCGGACACGTTCCACACTCCACCTACTTCTCCACAGAGCGACGTGGTTGCCGTCATTCCCAGTGTTCCTCCATTCCCACCTTCCAGTGCTGTCCCAGCTCCATCCCCATGTCCCGCACTAGCCATCCCTAACAGTGTGAAGAAACCCCAACAGAGGTCTCCCAGCACTCCTATCGCCCCTCCAGACTGGAGTCCACCTCCACCAGTGACACCCGTTTTCTCGCCAGCTGGTTCTGGTGAGACCCCCACGTTCAAAAAGCCAGCTAATGCCGTGGCAGGCCGAGGGGAAGCTCCTTCTTGGAGGAACGTGGGTCCTCCAGCCTCTCCAGGGAAGACCTCAGCCTCCCAAGTAAAGAGTGTGGTTGTCACTCCTATAAAGAGTCCTTCGCCACCTTCCAGAAACTCTTTGGAGCAGAGTTTGAAGGAAGAAGTTCTTCGTTTGTCTCCGCTGCCAGGTAGTGAAGACAAAGAGCATCAAAGTGAGGAACTGGTGGAGCTTTTGGAGGAGTGTAGGGCCATACTGGGTGTTTCTGCCAGTCAGGACAGGATCACCAACACGTCAGGCAAGACTTATTTTTATCCATGAATAGTCCAGTTCAGTTGCACGTGATGTCGTCTGACATGCTTTATTCTGCTTTTTTAGAAATTCTGAAGCATCTCCTGACTGAAGTAAAGAGTTTGAAGACCACGTTGCAGGTGAGATGGGTTTCCAGTTATGATCCATGCTCAGAAGCTTCTGAGAAAAGTTAGTTGTTTTTATTATCAGTTGTCCTTAAAATAATCATTTGTGTAAATCATCAACTGGTCAGGCGTGACCTTTCAGCCCGGAGATTACACCAACACTCACATTCTGCCACCCAAGCTCCCATATCACGATAAACCGTGGAATTGGCCTCGCTCCGCCTCTTCTGGAAGCAGCAGTCTTCCTGATTACGCTCCTTTCTGCCCTTTGATTCTCCGGCGAAGCTCAAAACAGAACTAAAATCTCAGAGATGATCTCGTGTCAGACAGTCTAGATGTTATCTGGGTACCACTTGAGAAGTTCTACTTCAAAGTCAGATTTTCTCCTAAAATCGGCTTTTCACCAACCAGCCCAGTTGCCTCAGCTCTCCACCTTTTTATGGATACGGAGGTATTCTTTGGTAATTTCCTGTCGTTCCAGTTCCTGACCCTCCCTTGTGAGGATTGTAGCCAGAGGGTCTGAGCTTCCTCTGGATCTCTAACAGCTGGATCTGACCCTCGTCCCTCCCTCACCCACATCTCTCTTTCCTTTCCCCTCTTCCATTTGTCCTCCTTTTGTTTTCATCTGAAAGCCTTCAATGCGTTTAACAAACATGGATTCTGTTTCCTGCTATTCTCAGCTTTTTATGTTCCGTGTAAACGTTCCTTCTTTGAATGGGAGTTTAGAAATAAGAGCCTCGCTCAGGTCAGCTCACCTCAGACAGACTGCGGTTCAGCTCGTTGAGGGGGCCGTGTCGTGGAAACGAAGCAATTCAACTTTTGTGTTTACACGGTCCCTCAGCAGAGCAATATCAGCGTTCTGAACCAAGTCTGCTCAGCCTTCCCGGGAGTCCTGTGTAGAAGGGGAGGGTGTTCACATTGGGTTGTCTGGGACACAAAACCTGTTTTGTTCTGTGCTGCGATGTGAGGTAGTGGGAGTTGAGTGCAGATAAATCCCTTTTTTCTCCTCGCTTTGCCTTTTTGTTCCCGTCAGGGAATCAGCTGCCCCTCCTTTAGCTGAAGAACTCCCAACTATTACCTCATAACGTTTGCCATGACTGGGAAACACATTGCTTTCCGGAGAATCTTGTGGTTGCAGGGTTAGGAGCATCACTTCAGGATAAGTGATGCTCCTAAAATGCACTAGACTTTATACTAGATTTCATTTCTTGACAAATACAAACTGTGATCACCTTCAGGCTTTGTCCTCAAAGCGCAGCTTTTATTACATACGTTAGCTGATTGTGTTACGCCAAACATACCCAGAGTTCACATTTTTAAGGAGGCAGCAGTTTCCAACTCAGGTCGTTGATTGGGAGATTTGAACAGTTTTATTATAACTTACGAGAGTTTTATCATGCTTGACAGCCAGAATAAAGGCCCAAAGATGGTTCTGTTTGGGATAAAATCCAACATTCAGACTTGCAGTCATCAGTTACACGAGGAAAAAGTTGACTGCTGTAAAAGCAGAGAAAAGCTGAATGGAAGCACGTTTGTCCAAACGTATAAATGCATGTAAAAATGTTTTTTTAAAAGAAATTTCTATAGCTGTAAATAGAACTTTCTTAAAAATGCCAGTGGATTCTGCATCACAGGCCAGGTTGCTCTCTCAGAGAGTCAATAATAGAGGCCCGTTTTATCAATCAATCATACTTTATTAATCCCAGAGGGAAATTAAGAGTTTCAGTACACACAATTCAGAGATCAGACATACATGGGCAAGACACATGGCAAGAATTGGTGACTGTGGTCATTCGCAACCCTGAGTCGCGCTACCTTAATAGAGATGAGAGGGTTATATGAGGATTGGTTCAGGTGGAGGGAAAAAAACGGCACTTCAGAGTAGGGATGGGTACCTTTGACATTTGAATCGATCCGGTACTAATTCCCGGTACCTACGAGTCGATACCGGTACTTAACGGTACCAATTTTCGATACTTTTGAGTGTTTATTATTTTAATTCTCTTTTATAATTAAATATATATTTTTCTCAATATATAACCATATTTGATAAATATCACGATAAATAACATACAACTGTTTGTATTTTAGCATTGTCCTTGTAGTTTTATAAGCTGATAATTAAACTGAAGCAAACATCTTTACTGTGAACTAAATATACTGTGTATCTTCATTCCTTTTGCCGTCCTTTTTCATTTGATTTTTCCTACTGGGAAGTTAGAATTTCCAAGGAGAAAGCGAACGCACCATTAGCTGATAACAACGGTGGCAATGGAAGCTAACATATCAAGCTAACGTTATCTTTAACAGTTTATTTAGCTGCTGGAGCAGATTAAAACGATGATGCCTCACACTTAGATCGTTGTCACTGGTTTTACCTTCACCCAATCACCCGTCGCATTTAGTAAAGTAAAGCCAAACTTTAGAGCGCGTTCATGTTCATCTAGTCGGAAATTCGGAGTTCCGAGGAGAAAGCGAATGCACCATTAGCGAAACGGAAGGTAACATATCAAGGTAACGTTATCTTAAACATTTTATTTACCTACCGGAGCAGATTAAGATGAGGATTCTCACTTAGATCATTGTCTGTCGCTGGTTTCATCCAGTTACCCATCACATTTAGTGAAGGGGACCCAAGTTTTAGCGTGCGTTCTTTCTACCCATGCTGCTCTGTTTACAACTAGCTTGCAGGGACCGGCGACATAACGCTCTTGCGCATGCGCTACTGTCTTGGCAAGTTCTTGTTATGAAGGACGGGTACCGAAACGAGGCACCGTTTGAAATGACGTGAATCGGTGCTCGGTCGGTACTATGGAATTCGGTCGGTACCTTAAAAAGTACCGAATTCGGTACTCATCCCTACTTCAGAGTTACCTTCCCACCAGGAGGGCAGCTTTGCTCTGCAAATAAACACCTCAGACAGACAGATGTGCAACAGACTTCAGACAACACAACATAAGTGTCCACTAGGTGGGTTGGGACTATCCCTACTTCAGTCCCTGCAGCCACAATAAAGCACTGCATGTCACATCAGTGTGGATTGGGGGGGGGGGGGGGGGGCATTGAGGGTTGGAGGGTTGTAGTGACCCTGGATGCGTCAGCGGCCTTCCTGCAGTCCCGCCCAGGCTGGGAAAGGAGACAGAGTTGAGTTGCCATAGCGACGGCACATTCCGCATATCTTGTATCAAATAGTAGCGGTGTGTTTTGCCCTTGTTCTTCCACCTTCACTTACATTGTCTTTTTAAAACACCGCTACAAGACATTTATGAGTTTGGAAAGGTCAAAGTTCACGTCATTTAGAAAGCAGTACAAAATGAGAGTTTACATAATGCAGAAAAATTATTTTGAAAAAACTTTTAAAAAGCAAGTCACCCCCAAAACTACGTTTTTTTTGGTTGTTGTTGCTAATAACCTATTTAAATGAGTGTCCAGCCGTTCTGTAGACACGTGTAGTCAATAATTTGCACTTTAGTGCATCTTAGTTAAAATTTAAATATTCTGTCAAAAATTTCCGGTGTTGCGCCGTCGTCAGGTAAAAACTGCTCTACATTTGAATTTAAATCTGCCACCTCTTCTCTTTTCCTCTTCCTTATTTAACCAGGTGAAATGTTTGAGAACAAGTTCTCATTTACAAACACGACCTGGCCGAGAGCCTCGGAAAATAGTACCTCCATTGGCTAAGAGCAGCGATGGGAATAATGCTGTTTAAAATAACGGCGTTACTAACGGAGTTCTTTTTTGGGTAATGGAATAATCTAATTAATTACTTTTCCCACTGTTACAACGCCGTTACCGTTACTGGGGATGGAAGGCTGTGCGTTACTATGTGCTTGTCGAACGTTGAGCAACAGTGTGAGGCTTTCTGACCGCCACACTTCAGCTGCAGCCAGGGAGAGAGAGGCGTCGGTAACGCACTTACAAACACGATGATGACTGGCGGGTGGGCGGAGGCCCTCAGTGTTCTCACTGTCTCAGTCACTGCCTGCTATTGACCCTTTGCACATGATGTCACGCCACTCATGTGACCGCCCCCTTCGCCATGATGGACGGCAAAAAGACCGTTTACACCCGTAGAAACTCCAGTGAAGGTAGTCAAAACAAGCCAGTTTGTAGCCTTTTATCCTTTTATTTAGTTGATTTGACAGTAAAACGGTTTTAGCTTGCTGCATGGTCGGCTGCACTAACAGACAAGGACGTAAACTCAACTCGTTTTTTCTTTTTAATAACTTTGATGGAGACTGAGGACGGAGACGAACTGCAGAGATCAATCAATCAAGCGGACTAGCAGCCCTCAGAATTGCATCGAACATGTTTTTACCGGGTAAGATTAACGTTCATTTATTTCACGAGGAAGACAGGGACAGGGATAAATGTGATGTGTTTATACTAGTTATTGATAATCCTGATGGATGGATATTTCACCACGGAGGCTGCGTTCCGTCCACTGTAGTGTAAAGCCAGATAATTATTAACAATATTAAAGCTCCGATGTATGACTACGTGTGTTAAAATGACGTTATTTATTTATATGAGCGTCGGCGTTCAGAGATCTTCTCATTCCGCGGTGTGAGAGCAGCAGCTGAACCCGGTAACAGCACCAGCAACAGAAGCTGGTAGGGATCCGGACTTTTTAAAAATCAGCTTTGGTGTAAAGTCAAACGCTGTTTATAACATAAAGTTATAAATCCAGAGGGGTGAATTTAGGCAAAGTCAGCAACATGTTTACATCGGAGAACAGCTGCAGAGAGAACGTAAGCTAACGCTGGTAAGCTAGTTAACATACCGCTCTCTATGAGCCCCGGCTAGATGCACTACTTCTTCTGATAACTGAACTGGGCATGAACTAGTTGAAGGAATGCTGGAGGAGTTTTGTTTTTGTTTTGATCGCAAAAACAATTTCAGGCTCTACTTTTCCTTTTGTTTAGCACTCGTGTCGCTCACTGTTTACATGCTTTTGCCGTCCAGCATGGTGGACCCACGTGATTAGGTGACGTCGGTGCAAAGGGTCAATAGAC